TCATCACAATTATGCTAAACTTTATATGGTTCTTTTATGGTTCTTTATGGTTCAGTTGTTTCTGACTTTGTGTTTGATAACAGTTCAGCAATAAAAAGTGTTATGAAGAGTCTGTTACAGATGTTGCAAAGTAAGACAATGCAAGAATTACATCAAAACCATTATTTTCTTCTCCGAAGTAATCTTCTTATCATACATCCCTTATGCTKGATATTGCATAATTGTAAGTTTTCTAGAGTTTGCAGGATAGCGTCAGTTTCTGTAACCTTTTCCTTTCTTGACATTTACTAACTTGTGATTTTATGCTCTCTTGGAAACTGACCTATTTTTATACGTAGCTTTTTTTATACTCAAAAAATCACACATATTTAACGATCTCACAGGTTTATTGCTGAATTCATTATTTTTGTTTTGTGTTACAAAATGCCTCTTTCCTTATTCATTTTTTGTCTCCTGGGAATACAATCGAGAATGCTTTAGGTGTTGGATGTGGAGACCAGGAACTTTTCATGACACTGGCAACACAGTACGTTTTTACAAGAATAAGATGGGACCCTGGAGCCTTGTATTTTTAACCTAGTTTCTAAAGCCTTTCAAGTCTCTTGCTTTTTTTCCAAATTATCAATATTTTCATGAGATAGTTATTACAGCTATAGCCTTATATAGCCAGAAAGATCTTTGTGCTACCCTGTGCTATTTTTTGAGGTAAATCTCCCAGTCACAAATGTGCCAGCTTTTCTGCCTTTTCAGCAACCATACAGACAACATAAAATATGGACAGGTATAGGTTTTTGKGGTATTTGCAGTGTAACAGCAAAAACTATATTTTTAAAAAAATTCAATCAAGTCCTCAAAGTGCAAAAGGAAATTAGAAATCCAGGCTCTCTGGGGAATGTTAAAGAATGTCTGCCAAATAACTCAGTGATGTTCATTTACTATTWTGACATTGGAAAACGTTATTCCCACTATCCTCTTATGCTTCCATTTTAAGGATGGTGATGATCATTCCCACTCAAGTTGAATAACCAAGTTAGTTTTCTATTTTATATGTAGATTCAGTTGCCAATAGGTAATGATAGTTACGCTGCTAGTCAACACATAATCTTAAAAGTAAATGAACTGAATAAACACTGAAGGAATTAAATTATTTTCCTGATGCTTCTATTGTTTCTTGCACACTGTTCAGCGTTAAAAGTGCTGATTAGTGCCTTGTATCTCTTATGTACTTAAAATACACTTTACCTAAATGTCTGAACTGTTTATTTTCAGAGACAAACAGATTTTCTGCTTGCCAGGCATCTCAATTAATTTTAGGTTTTCAAAATTCTCTCAAGTCCTTTTCTGTCTCAAGGTTAAAATACCCTCCTTTAATGTAGCACRTAAAAATCCAGAAGAGTAGTGTGGGACTTACAATTTATAGATGGTATCCTATTTTTAGTCAAAAAACGAGTAACAGCATGTCCTGGTTCTACTCAGTCCGATTTTTGGTGGTGGGGGGATGGGACCGAAAAACCACAAAGATGGCTCCTGTGAGGAAGTTCTAGAAGCTTTCTCCTTCTTCTCCAGCAAAAGGAGCCYTGCCCCCTGTGTTTTAGAGTCAATCCATTATGGCTCTGAGGTTGATGGACAGGCTGCTGCTCAGGCCTGGGCCAATTGCACAGTTTGGTTACACCTCTGTGATGACGTATGGTCTTGTACTTAAGAAGAATTCAAATCAAGATAGAGCAAGGCCATCATTTAGTTTTTAGGTTTTTAGTATTTAGTTTTAGTATTATGCACTGGGGAAAAACAGAGCAGGAGGGTGAGAAGATGTAAGAAAAAAAACATGGAGACCCAAGATCACAGTAAGAAGAAGACCGGTGATGTTGTAGTTCTGGAACATGGAGAAAACAAAAGTCCTGCTCGAAAGGACTATTTCTACAATGAGAGACCTGTATAGGTAAGGASAGCGACCTTGCTCTGAGAAAAAAACTGGCCTTGGAGGACTGGACACAACTTATAAGAAGCCAAAAAAAGGGGGAAGAGGTTTGGCCCCCACCTCACGTTTCAAGTGAGTTGACGCTTAGAAGAGGTAGTGTTCTGCGAGGGGAAGAGGTGTCCCGGCCCCCTGTCTGAAGCAAGTGGATGCTTAGAAGAAGTTATATTCTACCAGAATTGTGATAGTGGGGTCAGCCTTGGAGAACTGCTTTTCCTTTCTCCCAAGAGGTAAAGGAAAGAATCCCTTGCCATTAGAAGTTATACCCTGACTGTTTCTTGGGAAAAGAACTTCCACAGCTTGGAGCTGTAAGAACGCTTCTCCTATGATGGTGGTCGATAACTGTAATGAGTAGTTTGATCTATGTTAAACTTTCATACCTGCCCCCCTTTGTGTGTGGGAAGGCATGGAGCGGTTGGAGAGGGGTAACCTGAGAAAGAGATGGGTCCCTGGAAAGAATAACAGGTGTGTTAAAAATGTCCATTTATTTATTTTCTTCTCCTTGTAAAGTTTTCCCTATCTCTGTTCCCCTCCCTGGTGTGGTAGTATTCTTAGTAGTTTTTAATAATAAATCTATTTTGCAACTTAAGTTATTCAGCCTGTCTGACCATTTTCTGGAGCATATAAGTATCTTTCTCTCAATTATGTTATGTTATCTAAAGGCCATAAATTTTAGTGTTAATTGGGCTTTTGCTCTCCCTTCTGCCTCTCCGGTGGCGAGGGAGGGAACGTTGTGGGTGCGGTGCTTTTGGCTTTCAGTCAAGTTCAAACCACAACACAGCAGAAAGATATTGGAAAATTGTAGAGTATGTATGAGGCAGGTTGAGGAATGAAGAACCAAAGTTTTGCTTTGTCTTAAGCGTGCCTGTTGTCTTCTGCTGGGTGATTGGTGGAAATGACAATTCAGCTGTGAATTTATACTCATCCTTTTGCTATATGCACCCTTTCCACATACATACATGTCATACAGCTATACACCAAACCATGAACCTCACTATCACCCCTTTGGCAATCGCACCTCAACTATTTTGAACTAATTTTCTAGTTTCATCTTTTCTTGGAGAGAAAGTGTGAGAACACATATCTACAAATTCTTCACAAATGGAGTGACCACATTTCATTTGGTATTTTCCCACTCCACCCTGGAAGATGTGAATATTTGTTACAGCTCCATTTCCCTCTTTCTTGTTTCTGCTAGTGACAAATCACTTTTATGCTTCCTCTCTGTCATCAGGACAGATTTCAGGCTTTTGGGGTTGTTTTCCCTTGTTACTGTGAGTTTATGCAGGTGACTCCCACTAAAATACCATACAATACATAACCTACGCAGCTGGTACGGGTACTGTGCTGTCTTCAAATGAAGATATGAAACTGTGTATTGTTAACTTGTTTCTTTTTAAAACACAGATTATCACATCTTTTTGAATACAATTGTTAAGGAAATGCTACATGGAAAAATGACAGAACTGCTTTACCTGGATTTCTGTTTCATGACACAGGTGAAAATCTTGCTTGTACAATTTCACTGGTTTGTATCAAGTTGCAGAGCTGAATTTTACTAAATCAACCTCTTTGTGTATTTTTTTTMATTTTTTGTTTAAGTGCATTACATTTTGATTTCCCTTTATAAGGAGTAACTGTCAGTGCTGTCATTTTAAATGCTCTCTTTTTTTCTAGTTTGGCATACTTTAATGGCTATATGGAAGAACTTTTTTTTACTTTAATAGTTTTTACTGATTTCATGCTGTGGTAATATTGTGAACATTAGAAATTACCTGCAGAGAGAATTAGAGGGTGTATGTGTGATTGTCTGAGTCGTGTAAATGCCAAAAGCTTTTTGTGACATTTTTCAGACTTTAAAAATAGAAATATGTTATTTGCACATTGGCTCCTGGTGGAATATGACACACTGCAGGCATGCAGTGAATTTAAGTTTGGGCTTTAGGCCATTAGAGCCCCTGTGTATGTATATGCTTCTGGAAATGAAACAAACTGTTTTCCACATGGACATTCCCTCTTGATGAGCCAAAGAAACTCCATCAGGTCAGTGAAAGCAAATAGGATTTATGGACTTGCTGAAGCCTGTTATCCAGACTCAAATGTTATGGAATGTGATTCTGACTTGATGTAATTTTGTCTTTTCTCCCAAATGAGTTTCAACATCTTCGTATTTGCCTGTGAAATATTAATGTGGTCCAGTGCAATCTGAGTTTAAAAGCAGAAATTTGAGCTGAATTATTTTTTGGTTGTAAAGAAAGGAGTACCATCCTTTTAAATCTATGATTTCTAAGCACTTCATATCCTCCAACATTAATAGTTTCCCTTAAATTAGACCCAAAGAATTCTTTTACTTATTGTGTTAYCTATTGGGCTGGAGAGCAAGCATATAAGAGATTTTTCCAATTCTGTACTTTTCTACTTGATCCAAGTAGGCCTTTCTCAAAATCTAAGTGGGAGCCATAGAGGATGACACTTAAACAAGAGCCTGTCCTGGCAATTTGCAGATGGAAGAACCCAGGTGGGACTCAATAAAACAGTTAAACATCAGACCCACCCCACTGAATTTTACGCCAACTTTATCCTTACAGTATCCCAATTTGCTTGTCACTGGACATGTCACTTATGGGGTCAGCCTAAAAKTTTTTTGCCTTTTGCCTTTACAATTTCTCCCTTTCAAAGTTGTGATACAATAAAGACATGAGGCATGTATAGCTCTTTAGCCATATTATTTTTCGATACCTGGAAAGGAAGATGACTGCGTGTTCAAATGTACATCCTGAGTTGAGGGGTGTGGGTGGTAGAAGAGTTATGTATATGTGATTAATCCAGTCCACTTCAGAAACTGATATTAAATGTTCTCAACTTATGTCAGGATTACGAAAATTACTTTTGCCTCCTAAACACCACTCTGTTTTGGAAACAAAAATCCTTTCAGATCTCCATGTGTATTAATAAACTCCTTTTTTGTCTTTTATTTTGTTTAAGTTTTTTTGGTTGTTTTTAATTTTTAATGTGATAAAAAAGAGCCATGCTGCTGTGATCTATAAATAAGTAGGATTTAATTTTCAGCTGGTATGTTGGAGAGATTTGTCTGGATGTTGGGTGCCCACTAAGCCATTCTATGACTCCCTCTTTTTAGATAGAGAAGGAAGAGAAAATGTCATGGAAAGCTCATTGTTGTGATAAGGGCTGGGAGAGATCACTCACCTATTACCATCAAAACAGACTCAACTTGGAAATAAACATTAATAATCACATCAAAGTAGAATAATGACAAATAAAGTCTAATTATAAAACACCTCACCCAGCCCTGACTTTGTTCCAGGCTCAGCTCTACTCCTGATTCTTTCACCTCCCCTTAGCCAGTGGCCAAARGTAGATGGGGAATGGGGGCTGTGGTAAGAACAACACAAATTGCCTTTGACATTCCTCCCTCCTCAGTTCTCTCCTCTCCAATGGGAGGCAGTCCTCCACAAACTTCTCCAACATCCATTCCTAGGGCTACACTTCTTCAGAACCTCCATCTCTTTGTGTTCCTTCCACAGTGCACAATCCTTCAGAAACCAGCTGCTCCAGTGTGGATTCCCCATGGGCTCACCAGCCCTACAAGCAAACTCTCTCCAYAGGCCCACTGTTCCCTGCCAGGAGCCTGCTCCAGCATGGGCTTCAGAGCATGAGAACATTTTGTATTCTTGMCAGGTAATCTGCGACCATTCCTTCATTGGGGCTCAATATAATTTTAGCCACTTGCTTGGATTCCATTACCAAGCCTCACTGTAATCCTGATAATCACTCATCCCAAAAACCGGTAGTTTTCTATTATTAACTAATCATCTGTGGCCTTGTGGAAGTCCCAGAGCATCCAGACCTTTTTAGTGAGGTTGAATTAGATTACCTGCCCTTATTAAAACTTAGATTTAACCCAAGTAGGGAGGGGAAATAGTCCTCCTAGTGCTCATATACATAAAAATAATTCACTAGACGTGTTTAAGTTACCTGAGTTGCATGGCAAACTACACCAGTCTGACTTCGTACAAATAAAGCGTGCCAGTGTTGTGGGTGAGCTGAGCACCATGGGAAGAATTTTGGTCACATACATTCATAAAAACAATTGAGATAATTTTTGAATGTTGAGTGTGAATAGCAGTGTGAATGTTTCGAGCATGTTAGGTTGACTGCAGGTGATTTTTTTTGTTTAATAAAAAATTCTCTATTSGGTTGAATCCCAATCCCAGTGAAATCAATTAAATGCTATCTAACGYTGGTGTGTAGAAGAACCAGAAAGAGATATTATAGTCAGCATTCTCCAGCAATATACCTAAGATGTCATTGTGTAGTAATAATATGGGTTGTCAGGAGACTACAATTTTAGACTCCTTAATGGAGCCCTGATTTAAAATTKTAGTCTTCTCTAAAGCTGTCATTTGTGCCATGCTATGCAATTTAAAAAAATGAACTTTATAACTTTGGATTATTTTGTGTTTTAGAGTAAGCATCTATATTAAAGCAAATATAAGTGCAAAAGATGTCTTTTCCATTACATTATGTTCAAGAATTCACTGTGCGGTCAAGGAATGACACAGATCAGTCTGAAAAGGTATGACAGAACATGGATACGTGTGGGTCATAAATTCACTTAGAATTAGTTGTAGAATGCTTGACTTGATTTTCTCTGAATGGTGCAAATTTGATGAACAATAGGAGGTTTTGTGCTCTGTTCTTTACTTTGCTTCCTCTCAGTTTTGCATCTTAGTCCTTTCTCAGCTGCTCTGTGGCCATCTCAAAGCAGAAAGCAGACAGAAAAGTATTCTTGCAGGTCATTTTCATCTTTGTAAGGAACAGGAGAATGCAATATTCAAGCTATGGATATTAAAGCTGTGAAGGACTCTTACCAAAGCGATCAGGTTATGTCAGTCATTGTCCTTGTGCTTTTTACCCAGCAGCATCAATCAAAGAATAAAGTGAAAGTCTGAGTATGTGCTATGGACAGGGTGTGAATTCTACTCAGGTTATATGGCAGAAGCAAAGCAATGCCTTGCTCAGAATAAATTCTGATTTCACCATTATACACTGCTTTTCAGAGAAGCAACAGCCTGTGGCTCTCATTAAAATAGGCAAAACCTGATTATTATGCCTGATCACTCCATTTGTGTTTCCTTGTAATGCTGGCATCATAACAGCTGTAGAGTGTGTCAATTTACTTACAAAGGAGATCTACAGTCCCAGCACACAACTGCGCTGTGGAGGATTAATACATTTCTGTGCATCGGTGGAGTCATGGTAACTGCTATTAACTGCCTGTGAAGATGTTTGCAGCTCACTCCAGTTGCAAGGCACTTTGATTTATCTGCACTTCTGGAAGAACTTTCTCCTAAGCTGCATTACTTTTTCTCAGTAGATAACAGTCTGTGGAGCAGTGTGCAGCTAAACGATTCCCATATAAGGAGGTGAGAGTGCAGTTGGGTGCCAATGGATATGAGAGGAAGGGCAGCACTGCTGGGAAAACCCAGGAGGAGAGGGTTGCCCGTGGTGGGGAGGATGAAGCTTGCAGAGCTAACATTAGCTGGGTGGCCCCTCTGAGGCAGAATGAGGAACACCTACCCTGATGGGGATGCCCTGTGTCTGTGCTCTGCAGCCTCCTGAATGGGGCTGCTGCAGTACAAAACACCTGAGTGAATTTTGTTGCTGAAGCTGGATGAATATTTGGCAAATTAAGATGCTATAAACATGCAAAGACAATTACATTCCTATACCCATACCTTACTCACTAAAACCATGCTGAGGAGAGTTAATGGTAGGACCTCAAGGGACAGATTTGTTGATTTCAAGCATTAAAATGTCCAAATCAGTACTTTGTTTGTAAGACTATCTGAAAAATYATTTTACTGCTGCTAAAATAATAAAGCTTTTTTGGGAATATTTTATTTGGCCACTAGCTTCTGGGTTTGGATGTACCCCAATAACATTTTCCAGGCAATTTGTGCTACAACGTCTTAAAAACAGAAGTTGATATTATCCCTCATATGTCTTCAGGAGCTAGAGTTTTTAAATCAGAAAACAAATCCCAAAGAATAGAGGGCTAGTAATTCTAGCCTTTAAAGATTAAGGCAACTGCAAATTTTGTACTTCCCTTCCCTTCCCTTCCCTTCCCTTCCCTTCCCTTCCCTTCCCTTCCCTTCCCTTCCCTTCCCTTCCCTATAAACACATAAATCTTTTCACTATAGCAAAAAAAAGTCAAGTGACCCAATTTGTAAGTAAGTACATGCTAGAGAATGGAAACTTGATTATAGCACTTTTCCAGCATATTAGAAAAGATCTGGATTGATATTATCTGGAAATGTGAAATCATCTTTAATAATAAAATAGCATATCAAGATTTCTATTAAGTTCTTTGTTATATGAAACGTTAATATTGTTTTGCTGAGATGAGCTTTCACACCATTTGAAATTAATGCCACAGTCTTTCTATTTGAGAAATCTTAAATCTACACATTTGGTAATCTGTCATTTCACATGGTTAAATCAGCCACCTAATTGGAGTGACATTTTACATTCTAAAGCATCCTCTCTGAGCTATTTCTACATCTTATTGATTCTTTCTGCTTAATGGCATCAAGAAACAGCTCTTTAGCTACCCACAAAGCTGAAAGTCTCATCAAAGCTCTCATCCCTGCCAAATGCTCTTCTCTAGACTCAAGAAACACGATGCTCTCCTGCTTTTATCCACCCTGAGTGCTTGCAAAATGACCATTTTTGTGTCATCACTTCAGTCTGTCATTTTGACCACAATACTCTCTGTATATGCACACTTTCTTGCACACCATCTGGCTCCTTGTTATCTGCTCCACACAACCTCAGCCGTCTGCTTTAACATGCAAAGGCTTCCCTACCCAGCCTTACTACACATCAGTTCATTCTCAAAATATTGACTCTAAATTCCAGCCTGGCTGGAATACCAGCTTTCATTTTCTACATCTACTTGTCCCAGTATCCCTCATGATTAGAAAAAGCTGCCTTGTAAGCATTCAATTTGCCTTGTCTTTCAATGTTTTTCTTTAAAACATACTGTTCAATGACTTCCTTCTTACCAGTAAAAACTGGCTGGAGCACAGAAAGCACAATTTTTTCAGGCTGATCATAATTTCAGTGTTTCTTTGCACACCCTCACCTCCCTTTATGTATCATCCATTGCTTCATTCTCTCTGGTTCTGTGGTCTTAAGGTCTTTTCTTCTGGSAGGAGTTGGGAGATACAGGGTATTTCTAAATATATCATTTGCGCCAGCCTGAAAACTCTGAAATAAATATACTTGCAGAACAACATAATATTTCATTCCTGTGAGCTTTAATTATTCCTTGTGCAGTATTCTCAGTATCTGGTAACATTAGAGTAAACCTTTTTCTTCTCTTCTGTGCTTGCAGCAGTACTGAGCATCTGTTTTGTTGGACCTGGACAGAAATCCCACAGCTTTGGACTTGTGCCTCTCCAAACATTCCTGGTAAAAGCTGACCCTCTAAAATAGATGTGCTGTGAGAGGGCTGTGCTCCAGGGTGCGGGCTGGGGCTGAGGCTGGGGCTGGGGCAGGGACAGGCGCTGGTTCTGCCCAAGCCACTCTGGAACGTGACACCAAGGCTGCTGAGCCCTCGAGGCTCCTGCTGTGAGACCATCTAGCTAAATCAAAGTATTAACCTCATTAATTTTCATTTAATCCTTGTTTCCTTTAAATCACCATGTAAAGAAGCACAGATTCCTATCCTCAAACTAACACCTTCTCACTGTGATTTGGATGCAAATCCATTTATTTTTGCTGTGAAAGTTTATCTAAATGCCCACAGCAAAAGCAGGCTACAGGATAGCAAACAATTCCCAGAGTCCTGTTGCTCTGAGTTACTTTGTTGCTCTTCCGGATAGTAGAACTAATAAAAAAAATATTTGTATGTGCATTTTGTTTATTCCAACCAACATTCCCTTTTTTACAGGAATTTAAGGAAAAAAAACGCCAAAAAACAAGCCACTGGCTGGATTAACAAAATGGATGAATAATTTTATGACCACTCACTAATAACARATGTAGCTGTGCAACTTAATGAGAGAGCTAATCAGCATTCACTTTGTGGGGCAAACTTGATAACCTCCTTTGCAATGCTCTGCCTTCTCCTCAGCCCTCGAATAGAATAACTGCTGGGGGAGGACTGAAAGGCTTGAAAGAACAGTGAGCTAATCTGAGCGTATTTTGTACCCTTYGGGCAACATTCAAGTTGCCCTGAAGTCAGTTCTAGGAAATGATGGGTGGGATAAAGGCAGGCTTAAAGTAAGTGAAAAGAAGAGATGCAATAAAATTAGAATGTTTGGTTTTTAATCCAATTTAGAGCATGTGAATAGTATACCTGCCATAATGTGCACACTGATATGTATGATTTGCATTGAACTTAGTTACTGGGCACCTTGTAATCAAAATATTGTTTTACCTAATGTGTGGCATTACCTGCTGGAGAAATAAGGGATAAATCCATGCATGAAATTTTAGTTCTGTCCTCAGTGAAACTTTACAATATTTGATTGAAGTTTTTAATTCCTTTCCATTACAACTGAGAAGGATTTGGGTTTTTTTTTTTAATCTCCGGAATCTAAAAATAGTTTCAGATTTAAAAGAACCTGACTTTGCCGGTGAAGTACATAGCTGAGATTTGGAATTATCTATTCAAAGTAGGGGTCCCGTCTGTACTTCTTGTACATGTAAGCATTATGGGGGTTAAAAGAAAAGGTTACAGATATCCAAAGGAAAGCTCAAGGAAACTGCCACCTCAAAACCACTCATACTTGGCAACCCATCATAGTTTGATGAAACAGGAATTCGTGGCAGGCTTGTAGTTCATGAGTTGGTAATTTTAACCAAGAGCTGTTTTTTTGATAGTATTCCTTGYGTCACTGGCAAGTCTTCTGGAGTTTTTATAGATTAAGAATTTTTAACAATTTTAATTTAATCTTCCTGCTAATGAGACTGGCATGAGAATCTTTGGATAAATCAGCAATGTTTACAGCAGATGGCTTCCTCTTTGAAGATCTGACATATTATTAGTAGGTTAGTATTGAGTTCTGGCAAAACTTCAGTAAAGACATTTTGGTCCTAAATCTAAATTAAGATCCTTTGGTAGCAAATCTGATCTGATCTTCTTGGATCAATTGCTTCAAATTGTACTATTGTACTGAGCAAGTGATTGTAATGCAGCATAACAGAATTGATTTGCTCTACAAGAGTTTATCTCACTTTAATTAGATAAAGAAAATTTTGTTACCATTTCAGACTTTTACTGATTTTGATGTATAATGGTTTTTGATCTATAATGATGTTTTATGCAAAGCTGCATCTGGTGCTTTACTGAAATGAATTATTATTACCTACTGCATTACGACACATGGCACATGGATTCTGATTCTGTGAGATTAAAAAAAAAAAAAAGTAATAAAAAATCCTATTTATGCTTTATGTGTACATTGGCTAGGTACAAATTATAGCTGCACACCTGCGGTGTGCATGATTTTGGGAACTCTGGAGATCAAACTGATGAAATATACCATAGAAGCGTTCAGCTTAATTCATGGAATAATTATTTAGAATAAACATTCTACATAATTTTCTGTGGTTTGGCTCTTCCTTTTTCAGGATGCATTTTAGAGAAAATAAGGAAATTCAGAAGACATCTAAAAGGTTAGATTTATGAATGAAACTCTTTCTTCCCTCCCAAAAGCCAAGTGAGCAACTTGAAGATGCTTCTAGGCAGCTGTATATCCCTAAATGCTGCTAATATGACAGATTGCAGAGTCTGCCTTTGGCAACATTTCCTGCTTCAGATTTTAACAGGGTGAAATGCTCTTGAAAAGCTTTTGACGGTTTTCTTCACCCTCTTTTTTATCCTCAAAGAAGGATTAATACTTCATGAGGATTGTAATTTTTTTTTGTGTTTCTGTTAGCCCTCATCTGCTACTTTTTACATTTTTAGTTGTTTTTCAGGGCCACTTCTTGCTTGTAGATCTCTTCAATAGCGAAACCAGCTGAATGGAGAAACAGTGAATCTACCAAGAGAAATTCTTCAGGTTTCTATTTWAAATTCTCTGAACTATATATTATTTGTTAATGCAGGCAATTAATACAGTTTAAAATGAAAGAAAAGAATACATCCTTAATGGAAAAAAATTGAATAGAAACTGATCCTTCATATGAAGGTTCTCTRGGAAAAGAGCACCTGAAAAGTACAATCTTTTTAGTTTAGGCTGGAAATAGACTGAGATTACCCAGGTTTGCACACATGTAAAACAATTCAGTTTATCCAGTCTGTTTTCTGTGATCCACCATTTAATTTTTCTTTTTCTCTCTCACTTCTTTTTCTGGCCTGAAAAGTTTGAAGTTTATATGACCATGGGATATTTTCCAGCTGATTATTCTTTATGTCACTGTTAGGAGTTTGCAAAACAGACAATATTCACACTTTTCCCTTTGAATCAGATGTTGTGGGTTAAAATTCCTCTCCTTTTGTTCCGTTTCTTTGGGAACTTTTTTCTTCCCCCATTTGTTGCTGGGATACGTAATTGCCGATCATCCTTTTAATTGCTGGGTGTTTAAAAAGACAATGATACCTATGCCACACCCTAATGGTGGGAGACAGCTTTTGTGTGGTGGGGGGGGGATTGGGAGTTTTGGTTTTTCGTGGCTTCGCGGAGAGGGGGGTTCCTGCTGGCGGCACCGTGGTTTGCTCTGCTGTGCCTGGCCGGAGGATTTCCAGCTTCGGGGGGGGGTGAACTCTGCTCCATCCCGTCTCGCAGCGGGCGGGATTCCTGCTCGGCTCTGTGCGGTTCTGGGTTTCTTGCTGTCCAGAAGAGCACCGGTGTTTTCCGCTGTGAGTTTTGCAGAGAAACTTTTTCTCCATCCACCTCTGCCATTTTGTATCGATCATCGCAGCCGCGGGAGATCTGAGCCAGCCGGGACCCGCACCACCACGTCCCCTGCAGCCTCCAAAGAATCGTCCACACCCTCCCTGCTCAGCCAAGAGCCAGCAACATCCCTGCCAACAAACTGTAACTTCGCCAAGAGGGAGACTGTGTTTCTATAAGGCTGTCACTAGGTTTGGGACTGGGTTGTGTTGTTGCTATTGTTATTGTTACTTGTTTCACCTTGTTTATATATATATATAGATATATATATATAAAAGTAAAAACTGTTATTCCCTTTTACCCATATTCCTGCCTGAAAGCCTATGATTTTTTTTCAAAGCTATAATAATTCGGAGGGGGGGGGGGTCATATCCACCACTCCAAGAGGGGGTCCCTGCCTTCATTAGCAGATACCTGTCTTTCAAACGAGGACATCAGAGAAGTATGAAACACTCGGGTGTATTATAACTGCATAAGAAAGTGTTTAACAGAATGTTTCCAGTTAGGCTCCAGAACTGTAAACAAGTTTTGTAGACCCAAAGGTTTCAGATATGTCCTTTGAAGAGATGGGAAGAGCATTTCTAAGACTGCATCTTGGAGCAAAGTTATGCTCAACTACTCTACGCATCTCAAAACTTGCTTTCCTTTAGCAGAACTGCTACACTGTTTTTCAAAATAAGTCACTGATGTTAATTAATGCCATTCTCTTCTTTTTTAGGAATGTCCAGTAGTCTTGAACATATAAACAAAATGCATGAAATACAGTCTGACATTGTGCAATGTCCAGCTCCTTGCCATTGTTCAATTCTTGTAGCCATAACTTATCTTTGCTGGAATTTCACTGATTTCCTGAAAGATAAGAGCTGTAGGATTTACATAAAGTTGAAAACTGTTTACACACACCATTTGGCAACTGATTAATTTTGTATCTTCTGGCATTAAGATTCATGCTTCAGTTTGAACATATGGTTGCTTTTGATAGAATACATTTTTGCAGTTAAAATTTCAAAGTAAAATCCAGTGAAAAACTTGAAGAGAGGACTTTTATTTTTCCAACGATTTTCATAATAATTTTTAAACACATGTGTAAAGCTAAGCTGCAGGTTCTAAGGTAGTATAAATTGTTTTAAATAAATGACTCATAAATACATGCTCATCTTCTTGAGAAGGATGACACTGATGCACTCAGCAAACCATCACAGGACCACAGTATTAGTACTAATAAAAGATCTCTGAAACATAAACASTAGTGTATTTCAACAAAAAAGGCTGGTTTTTTTTTTTTTTTTAAGATTGTGCAAGGTTTTCTTTGTAGTGCTTCAAATTTGTACTGTGTTGATGTGAGGCTGTTTGCATACACATTCAGATACTAGAGGAAATGGGAAGGAAAAAAATGCAAAAAATGTGCAGAAAAGTGTTAAAATACCCCTGTAAGAACCCATAAAGGTTTGGCACAGATTAATCAGTTCATGCATTAAAAATTACAGTTTATCAGAATGCTGCCTTCTTAAAGGAATAAAAGTYCTGTATTTATTGTAAAGCAGTTTAATACAGTCTGACTTCTCATCCGGGAATTAGTCAAGTGACACAAAGAACCCTGTACTTCTTATTAYGTTTTTTGTATACTACCAGGAAAACATGCACAGGCTCCTGAACAAAGCAGACATTTCAGAAACATCCAGCAGCAGCAGTTGTTGTTCAAAGGCTTTTGAACACAGTCGTGCCGCCTCTTTAATTGCAAACTTGCAGTCTCTCCACCTCTCAGCTGCCATGATAGTTGCCATGCAATTGTCTCCAAAATGAAATAATTGCATGTATTCAATCCCAGGTCTCTTGGAAACCTGGCTTTCCCAGCCTGAGAGGAAGGGTGTTGGGGGCTCCAGGCTGCCTCCTGCCACCCTGAAAGGCTGCCAGAAACCTGCACTTCCTGAGTGGGCAGGAGATGCCAGGTCAGGGAACAGGGGCACACATAGGACGCGCCCAGCTGCTGTCAGGGCCACACCAGGGCACAGCAACATCACAGCTCTGCATCTGACAGAGAAATTGAGCACCTGGTGCAAATCCAGGCATGTGAGGCTGTGTTTGCCCCATCTGTACCACATGGGGGAAAAGCAAATGGATTAAAATGCCACAAAACTGACTGCTATTTATGTGTACTACTACTTAAGTGCTTATAGAAGACCAACAAGACAATGTATAATATGTCTTAAAATTCAAATAAATGTATTGAGAAGTATTTGGGACAATTGATCTGACCTTTTTTTTTTTTTTAAAGGTCACCTTGAATAATGGAAAAGGGTAATTTTCTTCTTGTAATGCAGTATTCCTCCTTCTATTTGAAGGAAATCATCAGTGTGTGGAAAGTAAAAGAAAGATAGCTCTAAATTTCTTTCATGATATTCTATTTATAGTCAGCTATGAGAGTTCACTTACATTCACGCTCTAAGAGCCAAGTTGGAATTAAGGAGTAGAGTGAATAACTCCGTTTTATTTGTTGTTCTCTCCAGACGTATCTCCAGCCTTTGCAATGTTTGGAAAGTGGGCTGAAAGCAGCTGTGCAATGTCTGAACCTACCATCTTTCATGCAAGATCTCACGAAATTTC